CGGATGGAGTTTTTTTTCTTCCAAAAATCCATTCAGTTACCGGATAAGAGTGTTAGTCCTTTAACTTCGAAGCCCATTGTTCTTTTTAATGATTTATTTTTATATTTTTCGTTAAGATTTATTTTCTTCATTTTATTCTCTATGGATCTTAACCAGTGTATTCTCTTGGAGGGTTTCTTCTAGCAATCAATATGGATTGATTCTTCTAGCAATCATATAGTCATGCTATTAATCAAATAATTAACAACACTTAAACACCCAATATAAAAAAAATTCATTAAATTATATACAAATTTATAAATAAACCCAAGCACTATTTAAACATAGAAACACACCAAAAATCAACCCCAAAATCAACAATTGTATATTTTTTGGGTGTGTTTATAAATGGGTTTTGAGTTTGTGTAATGATAAGTTTTTGGTGTGTTTATAAAGTGTTTTGGGTGTTGGGGTTTTTTATAATTTCAGCCCCCATTTTGGGTGTTTTAGTGAAATTCCCTAAATTATAATATCACGCATAATATAGTGATCACGAAATTTAATATCAAAATCAATCCAAGCTCTCTCTCACTCTTTCTCTCTCTTTTCTTATTCTTATGCAAGCTGCTCCCATCCGCATGCATGTGAACTCCATTTTGGAATTCTCAAATAATTCTTCTTGAAAGGAATGAACATCTATTCCTATTTATAGTACGAATAAGAGTTTGGGCTAAAGATGAGAGGTAATGTCGGCATAATATATAGCATGCGTTGTCAATTAGCATGCGATTATGAAGGAAATGCTGCAAGCTACAAGAAATGGTAGCATGATGTCTCATGCAATTAAAGCGGTTATTAATAGCATTTATCTGTACACGCGAGATTTATTCCCCCTCTCTTATTATTACATGTAATGTAAAAATTTGAGTCCCTTACTTGTTAATGTCAGGACGACTTCTTGTGAGAGACTGGTTGAATATAACAATTTCAAGGAGGATAATTGTTTTCTATACTAAGTGACGGACTTTCAAGGAGGATATTTGTTTCTGTAAATGCATCGAGGCCTAGTGTACGGGCTGTTATATTTGATTCATTTCCAGTGGTTGTACACTTGTACTCGTTTATAGAAAGAAATTACGCCAAAACCAAAAGTTTTATTTGCCGAAGGAGCCCTGGTCGGATTGTTGTGTTCATGCTGCGAACGTTGTGCTCTCTGTCAAGAACATTCTCAGCTCAAATCTAGAGGCTTCGACCCTTCGAGAGGTTCTAATCTAAACCCCATGTTAGCACAATCATCAAGTTATTATGAGCCTTAATTATCAATTTTATATCATTATCATCAACATCATTTGGTCCTAATTACAGTTAACGCTTTTATTTCGTTTTTGTATGTAAAATTTAGGTTGGATCATTGGGCCACCAACTTCTGCTCCACAGGTATCCATGCACAAGTGATCTTGAATATATATACTTTGGCAGACAAAGGCCCTGCTAACAATTTTTTTGTTTGTTTAATTACTCACTTAACAAACGCCCTGTTAACAATTATTAGCACAATCATAAACATAAAGTGTCACGCCCCTAACTCTGGATATGATGGAAAAAAAACCCCACACTTTGTGTGCTTAAGAGATGGTGTCATTCTGTCACACCCTGGACTCGGGGTACGATAGAAAAAAAAACCCCATGTCCTATACATTAAAAAATAAAAATAAAGGTCAAAATAGGGTTTAAAATAAACTTTTCTTATAAAAATAAATCCAAAATCATACAAGAGTACAAAAAATAAATAAAGTTCTATCACTCTTATCTAATTCAACCTTGGCTCGCCTACCACCCATCTTTTGGGTTTTACAACTCTAAGGTCTATAAATGGGTGAGTGAAACCACAACTCAATACGGACATAAAATTTTCCACAGTAAATTGATATAATTAAATTAAGTGACATGCAATCACATAACAAATAAAAGATAATAATGCATGAATGAGTTTTAATTCTACCCAACCCATTGATCTATATAATATGACAAGCAAATCTGCATGTCCTATACCATGCATTTTACTACTGTAATTCTGAATACCCAATTATATAAACTAACATTCATCTCAATCATCCCATAATTCTCCTTTTGTTAGTCGTCTTGTTTAAGTAATTGATCTTCAAGCCCAAATCACCTAATCGACAATTATATCGCTGATATCCTAATCTACTGTGCACATAGGCTCGCCTGAGCTTGATCCCTAGTCAGACTCAATTGCACAAAAGATCCTTCCTATTACATACTCTTTTCCTAAGTTCTTTATTAACCCCAAAAATTCCAACCATCATTGATAACATATGACCATGTCAAAATTAATAAAATAATATAAAATAATTAACAACATGTAAACAACCAATATCAAGAACATTAATCAGATTATAATATTAAGCATAATATAGTTCTCACGAAATTTAATTAAATCAATTTATGTAATGGCTGCTCAAGACACTCCCTACCTCGATTCTAAAATATAACTACAAATTAGTAAAACACAAGCAAAACCTCTTCATCTCCTCCAATATCATATTTCCTTGCATCTCTCTTTTACTTTGTCTTTCCCATATTTCTTTCCTTTTTCTTCTTCTTCTCTCTCTCTCTCTAAAAGAACTATCACCTTGTAGAATTGAACAAATAGTGAAGTAGGCTCCTGTTTATAGTAATAATAAGAGTCGGTTAAAGATGAGATAGAAAGAGAATGTCTACATATCTAGTATGTGGTGTCAATTGGCATGTGAATATGAATGAAAGGCTGCCAGCTATAAGCATGAGGTGTTTGAAGCTCTGCAAATTCAAGATATAAAGATGACAACTCAGTAGGTGATAGTGTTTCTAGGTTGACTGTAGTAAAGTGACGTGTCCAACAATAGTATGGGCCAATTAATTAGCATATTGCCATTATTGTTGTTGATTATTTGTTTTATCATTAAGGATAAATATATATCCCTCAAATATTATTTGAGGGACACTCTTTAGGGTCTTTTATGAATTTTTTTTCAACTATTCAAACTATTTATTTTTTAAGTCTATATTCATAAGTCATTCTTGCAAAAACTTAGACAAATTATAAACCGTTTCGGTATCTAATTGTGTCATACAAAATCAATGAACAAGATGCTTCAAGAAAGTACTAAAATTTCAATAATTCAATTGAGTGGTCAAATTATATCAAGTTTAAGTGATTTTTTGTAAAGATGATATTTGAATGATTATTTAAAACATAAATGGTTTGGATTAGTGAAATACAATGCGAAGTGAGCGCTACAAGAATGTCCCTCAGATAAACTTATTTGAGGGATCCCTCAATAGAAGCTCACTGTATATATATATACACACATAAATTCTCCTATGCGGATATCCGGATGTTATTATCGTGCGGACGCCATGTATTTTATATTACTCCTCTCTGCTTTTTACAATGGCATCAACAAGATAATAATATGCGGACATCCGAATAACATAATAACTGTGAGGGATCCCTCAAATATACAGAGAGCTTCCATTGAGGGATCCCTCAATAAAGTTTATTTGAGGGACGCCCTTGTAGAGCCCACTCCGTATTATATTTTACTAATCCAAACAGTCTATTTTGTAAATATTCATTCAAAGACCATCGCTACAAAAAATCACTTGAATCCGATATCATTTGACTACTCAATTGAATTATAGAAATTTTAGTACTTTCGGAAGCCTGTGTTCATTGATTTTGTAGGACATAATTGGATGTCGAAACGGTTTTCACTTTGTCTAATTTTTTGCAAGAATGATCTATGAATGTACACTTAAAAAATAGATGGTTTGGATCGTTGAAAAAAAAAATCGTAAGGGACCCCAAATGATAGGACCAGACCCAAAATTCACTTTGGAATCCTTGTCGAATCCCACGCGTGTTCAACACTTGGCAGGTATTGGTCACGAATGACTAAAATATCTTTCATTGCCCTATCCCAAAAACTACTTTAAGGTTTGACTTATACTGGAAAACCGGCAGAATCTCCCCTGAAAAAGAATAAAAACCCAGAAATTTACCTATATAGCAAACACAATTTTTTTTTTTTTCAAGGGTTCAATAAGCACAAAGGTATAAACCACACACCAATTAGCAAAAGTTTTAATGAGCTTCAAGTCCCCCGTTTACCAACATAAGAAAGTCAGCAAATTAATCTTGACATAACTGAACATAACAAACAAATCATAAACTTGCAGTTACACCTAGGTTAGTCTGGGTTGCCTACGTACTTTTACTGAGGGATCAAGCCACACATAGTTCTTTCTACCACAAATCACAATTAAGATAATACATAAATGTTCAATTAGTTTATCATCGTACATTCGAACACTTACATAACCAAACCCTTTTACCTGAAAGCCATACTTGTAACCATCTACATAATGCATATGTCCTGTAATCACACACTAGGGAAAGGGGAAACTGGCTAACCATTTGTGTAGACAAGTCGGGGAGGTGGCTAGGGATCCTGGCCAACCCTGTGCAGATAATATGAGCAGAGTGACGAAGAATATCTAGATGCTTCTCCAAAAAGCACTTAAATTTCTTATGACAATTTCAACATATTTATAATAAAAGTGTTTTATAAAAAGTACTTATCAGCATACGTGCTTCATAAAGAAGTAATTTCAAACCAGCCGAACATGGCGGATTTACCAAGAGAAGAAGCGTATGTCTATAATTTAATCAATTTCAGAGTGTTAACCACACTCCACAATCTGCTTAGCACACCCTGAATACAAGTGATGATCAAATTACTCAGCACACACAAGTCAAGGTGTCATCTACTCAACACACCGTGCCTGATCACAAGGACCACCACGTGTCCAACCGTTCCAGCTGTACGTGGATAAGGACCACCTTTGTCCTATAGGGTTTCCTCTAGTCAGGTAAACCAGTATATAAACCGTTGTATTGATTCTTTGTCAAGCAAGGCAGAAGGCAACCGTTTATACATTGTTCGAAAACATTTCATTCTCTCTTACATCTCCTCTTACATTGCTGAAACTTTTCCATTTCCAGCAATCTTTTCAAAGGTGGATGGATGTTGGGGGGTGTATAAATAGAAAATCGTAGGAACCACCAGCACTTCTTTTTCTTTGGTTTGTTTTGCCTTGCATTTGAAAAGAAAATTAATTGTTTGCATCTTTTTTTTTGGGTCGAATTCTGATCTCAGAAAAGGAAACAGAGTACAACAAAGCCAAAAGCTCAAAAAGCAAGACATGGACGTTGATTATGCCGATCGCCCTCAGCAGTCCAACTGGTCGGTTGGTCTTTGTAAATGTGGGGAGGATGTTACTACATGTAAGATATAAATTCTCTCTCCGGGTAAAATTTCCTTTGTCTATTATAGTTACCTGACAAGTTAATTTTTCATTCAAAAATACCAAGTAACATTTTTTAGCACTTCTTTTATAAATTTATACATCTACTCAACCAACCCAATCGGTGAAATTGATCTTGTGGTGTAGGTTGCATCACATGCTTTCTCCCATGCATCACGTTCGGCCGAATCGCAGAAATTGTCGACGAAGGACGAAATTGTAAGTGTCACAAGACCAAAAAGATTTCCCAAATCTATAAACATGGCGACCTTATTATTTATCCCCTTAAAGTGATTGTATATATACTGCTCTCTCACACTTAGTTCTCTAGTAGTAATCATGTGATCACTTATTGTGAGAGAACGGTTGCAATCCATAGACTGTTGTATATGGAAAAGTTAATTTCTCCTTACACCGTCTGCGCCTGACTTTAATTATCAAGGTGATTAGGTCAATGGTGTGTTACTAATTGGTGGTTGGATTTTGTAATTTTAGCTTGCCTTTCCCATAGCATAGTGTACGGGTTGTTGTGCACGCTGCAGTGCCAGTGGGTCTACTCATGCATGTATAGACAGAGATTGCGCCAAAAATTTGTTCTGCCAGACGAGCCTTGTGGTGATTGTTGTGTTCATTTCTGCTGTGAGCCGTGTGCCCTCTGCCAAGAACATGCTCAGCTCAAAACTAGAGGCTTCAACCCCTCCAAAGGTTTTAAACTAATCCTACATTACACACATATGTCGTCATCGTATAGTTATGACCTTAAATTTATCATTATCGGTATCATTTACATCAATTTTTATTTTGTATTTGTTTTTATGATATAGGTTGGATTGGGCCACCTACTGCTGCTCCACAGATGCCTCCTTCGATGATAAAATGATCGCTAATCTACTTGGCAGACAAACAATGTAGTGTTTGTCTTCGCCATCTCTTTTTTGTTTTTGTTTGATGGAATTTGCTTTGTGTTGTATGAATATATATTGATGTTGATAAAGGCTATAGTTTGTTTATATACGTAATTTTGTGTTCGGATACATTTCACATCAACTGGTTTAAGGAGTAAAAAAGTATTATTAGAACATTGTAATTTGTAATTGCATAAAAGCAAGAATTGGCATGTCAAGTTTTACACCGTCAAAATATGAATGTTGATCATGATCACCATCGCCCGCAGCAGTCTGAATGGCACAGTGGCCGGCCTTATGACGTGCAGAAGATGCTACAACCTGTAAGGAGTATTATACATGCAGCCAAATTTGAAGCTCTTGTTCTTCAACTCAGAAGATGGTACAACCTGTAAGAAGTATTATCCCTCTGCTCAGCAGCTGAGCTCCATGATGACACAAAGTGTGCCTTACTTTTTCAATGTCAAGTCCCAGCTGCAGCTACCATAACACAAATTCAGCACTTTTGCCATACTTGAACCTTAGATAACTCGTTAACATGATCAACTACAAAGAAAATCCTATAGCTTATGGAATTGTTGTTCACATGACAAGGAAAAGATTTGACATTTCAAAAATCTTAGGTGTGTGTTAACAAGACTTCAAGAAGGACATCCAATGATCAAAAGTAATACCTTCAATATTGTTTCAAAATCCCAAGCAGTAGGCTTTAAATTTAAGCCTCTCACTCATAACTCACGCACCTATGAGCTCTCAAACTGAAGAAAGAAAACAGAGCAAAACAGGGGAGGCAATATTGTGCCCTCTGTGCTTCACCAGCATGGCCTTCAACTGCCACACAAATCTTTTACTAGTGAACGACATTAAACATTTGATACCTAGAACCCATTTCACTAAGACATGTGAATCAAACGAGACAAAAATAAGAAAGAAGAAAAAAGAGAGAGAACTTAAGAAATTACCTTTTCAATGCATTGGTGGGTCGTAGGGTTCTCCAATTACAACGGAAGGTACATGTTGAATTTTACAGAAATCCTCTCCATCTTCCTGAATCCTACTATGGAGTTCTCTAGGCATCCCGAAAATGGTTAGTTCCTTGAGATTAGTAAGGTATGTCAGCCCATCTGGAAGCGTAGTCAATCCACTGCAAAACCCTATTCGCAATCGCCAGAGACTAGGCATGGCTCCTTCCTCTACCCTCCACTCTGTTATTTCGTCCATACGAAAAACGGAAAGAAATTGAAGGGAAGGAAAGCTTCCTTTGGAGAAAGCCAGTGTCTTTGTATTCTCCTCAAAAACTTCACTTATAAGGAGCAGAGTTGTTAGGTTTGGCAGCTTCTCTAGTATTCCCATTTGGTCGTCCATGAGACTACAGCTACACAATTCTAACTTGGTGAGGTTTGGATAGTTGTGGAGCTCTTTTGGTAATTCTGCTGTCGGCCCATCCAGCTTCAGTTTGTATATACGACGACAACTTGATACTATTTGATTACCCTGCTCCTCATAACTTGTATTCCTTACAGAATAATAACCATTGTATACAAGTAGAGACTGGATACGATTAAGCGTGCTGCCTACAGATTTCAAGATTTCCTCCAGATTTTCCAAGGGAAGTGACAATCTTATCTGCAGTTTTAGGAGATTGGTTAATCCAGCAACATCCTTCAAATCACAGTACTCACTTGAAAGAAAATCTAAGGTCTGTAAGTGGCCAAGAGTAGATAGCTTCAGGTTACCACTTGCTGTGTAACGCCTTGGTAAATATAAATGCCTTAATTGCTTCATTTTCCATATCACATTTGGGATGAACAATTCGACATATCGAACACGGAAATCAAGAGTTTGCAAGCATATTAAATTACCTAGGGATGATGGAAACCTTTTTATTTTGCTATCCCTCACACTTAGAAACCTCAAGTGGACCATATTTCCAATTTCACTTGGCAACTCTACTTCTACTTCATCAACATCTTCAACCTTCAAAACTCTAAGCACTTTGAAATCCGTCAGCGGAGATAGTAATACTTTTTCACTTCTTGGCCTCCATTCTCCTAAGACAAAGTATAATAGAGATCTGACGTGGCCATTTGTTTCATCTCTCGATGAAACCAACCTATCAGCATTCTCATCCAAGTAGATTGCAAGTCTTCGAATTTTCCCCACTGGTGTTCCCTTCGCTACCATAGATGAAGTAACAGGATTAGTTGCCTTATTTTCCTGCAAAGAATAGCCAATCTGGAGAAAGCTTTCCTCTTCTGCCTTTAACAAACACAAGTCTCTTATAAGGTCATGGATCTGACATGTTTTTATTGTCCCAGTTGAACCGCTTCTTCCCACTTGAACCACACACCTTTCCACCAACTCAGTTAAGCAATTGTGTGCTATATTCTCCATTGTTTCCTCTAGACTATGTCTTTGTTGTCTCAATGAGATAAGACCTTCTGCCATCCATAACTTAGTTAATGTGCTCACTGAAATCTCACGGTCTTCAGGATAATGGCCTAAATATAAAAAGCATGGTTTTAAGTGGTACGGTAGGTCATCATAGCTCAATGCCAACACCCATGATGCACCTTCATATTCTTGTTCATGACCTCTGCCTCTCCTTATGTATGCATATACATTCTCGTTTACCATCTCCCATTGTTTAATAGTGTTTTTTGTGGAAAGAACTCCGGCAAGCACAATGATGGCAAGTGGCAATCCTGCACAATGTCGAAGCAACTTCCTACCTAATTCTCTCATCTTAGAGTAAATTCCCGAATCTGAAAATAAGCAAAGGAAAAACAGCGACTTGTAGTATGAGCAACCGTACTATGACAATTTATCATAAGGTATCTCTTGCTTAAACGATTTAAGAACTACAATTAGAAAATGTAGAAAGTTTATCAGAAGTGTGCTTTGTAATATTATAGGTTCGGATTCTATAAAAAGCATAATGCATAATGGACAAATGACAAAAATTAAATTTTGACAAACCCGAAAAATATGTTTGGGATATATTTTCAAGGGAACATACAAATTACAATATAACGATTACATTTGGTTCGGTTTTGACGAAAATCACGGATGAAATCGAACCAAATCGAATCAATTTAAGATGGTTTAGTTCTGCCGGTTTGGGCATAAGCCCAATTCTTTTTCCTTTTTTGCATTTTTTCAACATTGTTAACCCAATTACAACAACACCAAATAAATAAATAAATAAATAATAATAATTGACTAGCCTTTTTTTCTTTCCATTTTCTAGCATATCAAACCATCCTAAAACTCCCTTTAAAACCATCCTAAAACTCAACATATAATTAAACTTCAAAGTTCAATAACTAAAACAGCAAAATATTCAAATATCAATAAATTCAAAGTTCCACATCAAACTTCAAATTCAACATCCATATATAGTTATTATCCAATGAGATGACTACACGTGAATAATAAAATATAAATAGATAAATATACAAGTGGATGGTTTGGTTTAGTTTAGGCCGGATTGCAAATGCTATAGACCAAACCAAACTATTTACGGTCCGATTTGATTTTAAAACCATTTGACTTTTTCTTATCCAAAATCAAACTAAACCAGTAATTACGGCTTCGACCAAATTGATTCCCACCCCCTTTGCTAAGTGCTCGATGATATTTGAAAACTGTAAACTCCCAACAATTCTTAGGAAAAAAAAAATATAAAAACCTTTCTATCAGCAGATATAGGACCTTCCAAATTTTGGAATCGCTTGGCCTCTATATAAATAAGACTGGAAAACAAATATATATTAAGGGTGAGAAAATACCGATATCAGGCCTTCCAAATATTGCTATCTTCTCTAATAGTGCCAAACTCTCATTCTCATTTAGTGGCTGGAGTTTGTGGAGGAAACAATTTCTATTTGGGGGCAAAGCGACTGCTTCATAGCGTGTTGTGAGTAATATTGTGCTCTCTGTTTTCTCATTTGGAAATGCAACATTCAAAAAATTCCAGGTCTCGATACTCCAAACGTCATCAAGTATCACCAAACATCTCATTTCTTGCATGACACAAAAAAGCTTCTTTGCTATTTCATCATATGTCATTTCCTTAATATCTTGTCTTTGTTCCTTGGTAGCAGAAATGAGTTTAATGAAAATTCCTTCCCAAACATTTCTTATTTCACACCGTTGAGATACACACACCCAAGCAAAACTATGAAAATGTTGCCTAACATTTTTGTGATGATAAACCTGTCTTGCAAGGGTGGTCTTCCCCAAACCACCCATCCCCCAAATAGATACCACTCGATGACGATTTTCATCTTTTACTAAATGCATAACCAATTCTTCAACGTTGTACTCTAATCCAACAACATCACGTTCAATAACATGAGAATAAGTTCGCCTCAGTAGTCGTTGCCTCTCATGCAATTGCAAGAAAGATTCACCTCCAACCTCTGTTGGTACCCTTGCAATATTATAACTTTGCAAACTTAACCTCAAATTAGAAATTTTGGCAGTAATGTTCTCAATTTCTAACCCAATCTTTCGAAGATCAACCCCTTCCCTGAAGATGCAGGCAAATCTTCTGAGAATATTCTTGATGCCCCTTTTCTTCTTGGAAGCCACTTTCAAGCCATAAGTTTCAATAACATCTTCCAAATCATAAGCAGCATCTCTAGTTTTGGCAACCCAAACTTGTACTGTTGCATCTTGTCCTTGTCTTGCGTCTGCATCTTTGAGGAAGCCCTGCATCAATTGTAGCTCAGTTTGTGCAACCTCAACTTGATGGCTCACTCCAGACAAGAACTTGGCTTCCTGAGTGGCGAAGTCTCCGACCCTTTCGAGCACAAACGAAACAACTGCCTCAGCCATGCTATGCTCTCCTTCTTAACCTCTAGATTCAATTTTCAGATTAATCAGTGAAGTCTTCTCTGCACTCTTTCGTCTATGTATGAATTCCAGCCAATCAATTCAATTTCAAGTTTCAACCCAACAATAACAGCTTTGACGTTTCCTAACCACCTCAAGTTTTGTACGTTCAACGACTAAGTCAGTCGTCTCCAATAATTTCCCCGAAGAATGCAACTTATCATTCAACAATTAATGCAAGCTTAACTTCTTCGTTAAATATTGGACCCAAAAAAAAAAATCTTATCTGT